ACGGCACGTAACAACAACAATATGTTTCCGTATGTAAGTTCAACTGAAACTTGTTCACTGTGGGTGACCTGTTGATATTAACAATACCAGTGGCATAACTTCCAGAATCACAGCAACACCCAAGACACCACAATATGACAAACTAACAGATGAGTGGTTGTCAGTTCCACATGGAGCACATGATATGGGGACTTGAGGATGTGATAGGTGTGAAGAAGCCAACCCCTGACCAAAGGAACAGCAATCTCTTTCCCAGACACTTATACATTCACTGCTCTCCTCTCCTACACTCATTTATACCAGATAGAGGATTTGCTTTCCCTCAGATAATATACCTGTAGCAGAATGAAATTATCTGTACAATCACCCACTGCTGCTGCTACTGCCAACCTGCTTCTGCCTTTCCACACCAAACACACTTTCATGCTGGGAAATGTGACTTTGGTAAGATGAGTAACTATATGGAGACTTGGTTTGCATATTAATGCAAATTAATTAGAACAAGCACAACCCTCCTAATACCAACCAACCAAAAGATAAAAGAGGGGAAAAAAGGTTCATTTGTCTCAAAAATACTTAGTTCTCAGGGATTTGATGAACGTAAGACTTCCTCCATTAGCATGTAAGTTGTTAAGGAGGATCTAAAGCTACATTTCCAAGATACTACCAGTATTCAAGGGAGAAGACAGAGAGGCAGATGAAAGCCAAGAAAACTTTGAGGAACAAAAGAAAGAGAGAGGAGTTAGAAAGATACCTCCAAGAGCTACTGGAGGAGGCTTTTCAAGGATTGACAGGACTCAACTGGAATGTAAAGAAACGATCTGTGACATTCTCTGGTTATTACTTGAACTCATTATCCATCTTAGAGTAATATTTCTTTCTGGTATAGGTCTGTACCTACAAACCTTCCAATATTAGGAATCTAACCTAGGGGCTATACATTATCTAGCTGATGTAATTCTATTTCTTTTTCCTTCACATTCCCTGAATTTGTAATTTGGTAATGGAGGAAATCTCAGCCAGCCTCTTGTTCCTGCTCAGTGGTTTACATTGTAGGAATCTGAAACTTAGTAAAGGGAGTGAATTTCATTCAGACTCAAAGCACAAAGCACAAGGATAAGCAACCAGGGTTCTCCTCCTTGTTCTATCTAGCTCCTCTGTTTTTTTGGATCAAGCAAGCAAAAAAAATCTATTCTCTTCCTTGTGTTTCAGATAATGGCGAGTATGGCTACTTTTGTTCTGAACCTCAGTTTCCCCGTACATACCAAGGATAGTTGGATACTAACCTATGATGCAAATGCTCCCAACATTAAAATAAATAAAAAGCCAAAAACAGCTACTTATTTCACATGAACTGTTCTTTAAACTATTTTACATTGTTGCTATTACCCCATGCGTACAATGTTTACAAAAGTTTCAGGAAAAATGATTCTCTTATCAGCAAAAACACCAAGGCTGTCCTGCAGGCTTACACTAACTTCCAGAGAAGGACATCACTTACCTTGTCTTCCTTTGAACTTTCCATCTCTGCCCCTTCCTTGAGTTTTGCCAGAGCACTCTTGAGGTCTTGAGATGTATAGACATTGGTGCTGATGTCCAGCCTGCCCCAAAAAAAGCTTAGAGTCAGGAGGAAAGCATAATTTTCCCCAATAAAGAAAACCCTCCTAGTAGACTACTAGCCCAAGGCACATTGGGCTAGGCTAGCAGTAATTCTGAGTGACCTGTGGCAACCAGAGGTTCAGCAGAGTGACCTTACGTTGAATCTCAGGGGGAAAATACACAGCTGAAGATGGGTAACTTCATGAGAAAAGGGGCAAGGCAGAGAGAACTCTACCACAGAGAACTCTGCAAAGAGCTTCAGTCAGCTAGATGATCAGACAGAAACAAGCCTGGAATGTCTGTGTGATCCTGCTCCCACAGCACATGCCAGGGGAGGACTTTTTGGAGCATAGTGGCCACAGAAACAAGAAGCAACATGTACCCTATTTATAAGAGAACAACAGGGTCCTGAACCCTAATTGTATGTGCCAGGCCTGATTAGACAAGACAAGCTGTCTTTACAAAATTTGTTGTTGTTGTTAGGTGCCATTGAGTCAGTACTCATAGTGACCTTATGCACAACAGAAAGAAAGACTGTCCAGTCCTAGGCCAACCTCACAATTGTTGCCACACTTGAGCCCATTGATGCTGCCACTTTGCCAATCCATCTCACTGGGGGTCTTCCTCTTTTTCTCTGATCC